CAAATTTAACATCATCTTTGAAACATCATATCCTTTACCTTTTTGTCATTCTGACAATCCGCAATATCTATGCTATTCAACTGTTGAAGATGTGCTTTAAATCTATGTAGTGACTGTGTTGACAGGTAAATTTTCACCTGTACTACGTTTTACTTCCCCCTGTTTCCTTTGAAGAGTTTGCACAATACAAAAAACCTGTCGACTATTTGTTCCCATGCACCAACACCAAAGCATATGCTTGAGGACCTCATCACATCCCATAGATGTATATAGAAACGCTACTGGGTCATTAAATCAAAATATGAGATATTATAGGATTGTCTCTTTTTGAACTAAAATATATAGTGTTAAGCTATTTTCCGGCGTTTCTTCTGGTTTTGTGTCCAGAAATTTTTTTATAATATAATCTATGATGTTTTCAGGGTATGTAAAATGCTTGACTATAATATTTAATATTTGTCAATCTGTATAATAAGTATACTAAATTCTCGTTTTTTCTATTGCATATATCTTTTTATAGTCTATAATGATTCTAAATATAATGTTTTGCTTTTTTGGGTCTAACATGTGCGTCAACACCATAGTCATAATTAAATACGGTGCTGGAGCTACGTTAGACAATGTCCATATCTACCCATTTCATAAACTCTTAAATATTTCTTTTGTTTCGTCCTCCAATAAGATAAGTTTAAGTAGCAAGTTGTTGTTCTAATGGAGACTTTAAACCTTGTGTGCCATTTATTCTTCTTATATAGCCTACAATATGATACTTTGCATTGTTTTATTTGTTCGGAATGAAGTGTTATTACCGTATAATACCATTTCTTATAAGGACTGTACAAAACACCGCATCTAAAAAATTTATTTACTTCATTGAACAGAAAAGTCACCAACAATAGTTTCAATATTTTTTGTTCTAATCAAACTTTGGTATATTTCCGTTATACATATTCCTTGATCTGCCCTTCTTCCGCTAACTCTCGTTAACATAGGTGTCCTTATGCTGCCTATCTTCCCTAAACTCATCGTTAACATATGTTTTAATCTGCCATTCTTATTTAACTCAATCGGTTAAATATTCCTTACTGCCTTCTTTCCCGTAAACTCATCGTTAACAATTCTTATCTGCATTCTTATTTAACTCATCGTTAACATATTCTTATCTGACTTTAAGGTCTAAAATCTGAAACCCATCCGTTATCAAGCTTTATTTTTAAAAATCCTTTGATGTCCGTTCATGATAAATTCAACCCTTTCTATAATTTCATTATCTTTTTCAATGCAACATAAACCAAATTTGCTTTCTTCATTAATTCACTATCAAACCCTTTTCTAGTAATTTCATTAATCTTTTTTCATTTCAACAATAAACCAAATTTGGCCTTTCTTCATTATGTCATGTTAGGAAACCTTTTATGCAAATGTCCTCATTTAAATTAAATCTTCCAATCTTCAATAACTTTAGGAAATGCCATTATAATGCGTAATATCTTTGTTCTTCTGGTGGAATTGATGTTAATAGTCATCCGTTAATTCTTTAATTTTTGAATTCAGTAAATAAAATTCTTTTATATTTGATATCAACTGCACCACTTTGCAAACCGAATTCAAAATGGTCATTTTTCAAATACTATCTCCAAATCTCCCATATTTCAACCTTTGCGTTTGTTCTGCCGTCTTTGAAATATATGCATATCGTGGGCGTATGTAATGGTCCTGTGGTGTTTGTTTAAGTCATTTTGATTACGGATTTAAAAATAAAATATTTTAAATCCGTTATACTCATCAGCAATTTTTCTATTTGAAATTGCCAATACGATATTTCAATTCATTTAAATTCCTAAATCACATCAAAATAGGTCAAGTTATTCTGAAATTTATATTTTGATAAATCTTTGAAATGAAGAATATAAATGAATTCCCGGATAATTGGAAAACGGATATGATAAAGAAATATGTTTAAGTTTGATGGATAAAATGTTTTGTATTGATGGGTAAGAGTTAGGGTCTAATGTTTGTTGAAAATCTCATTGGGGTATTAACTTATCAATTTGATTAAAATTGAAATTAGACCATGTGTCAGAATAACAAAACATCCGCCAAACATCTTTCAAATTTAATTCCCCACAATGAACGAAAGAGAGGAGTAACAAAATTTAATTTGCACAGCGGAAATTTAATAAGGTTATTTATTTCATCACAGTTCAAAAAAGTTTTATCAGTTTTTGAATTTAAAAATTTTCTTCATACCATACGCATAAATGATTCATTTTAAATACTTAAAATTGTGTTAATATCCCCCTCACTATCCACATTATTGTATATACATATCATACGTTTTTTAGGTCCTACGACCCCGCCGCTATGGCGGCTCAAGGTCATCTTAATAATGATATATAAATCTGAAGAGGTTCTAAAAGAAATGGGATTAAAGTTTTTACCACTCACAGCGAGAAACGAAGAGTAACATTAAATTCCCGCTAACTGTTAAATTTAATTCAACAGTATTATTCGAACATAATATTGATAATATGACATTTTTTTTTATTACGATTAAACAATGAGTGGTAAAGCGTTATTTTTCCAAGTGATAAATTAAAACTAGAATAAAGATTACCTCATAGAATTCATAAATTCAACGAATAAGAAATTCATTCATTGTTTATAAATTTACGTGGTTTTCAAACAGAAAATATGATCAATGTCATATTATCATCGGGTTATATTTCACTTCATTCAAATTAAGTTTCAATCAAAACCCATATAATGACCATTCTTCTTTATTTCTTTGTTCCCGTGGAAGAAGGGTTTTTGCCGTTTTTTCTCAGCCGAAATCAACGATTTTTTCATTTTTGGAATCCTTAGCAAATGAGGAATCTTTTCTCTCGTGGAAGCTTTGACCAAAAATAATGTTTAGGTGAAGAGGTGAGATATCACCTGTTTTTTCACCTAATTTTTCACCCTCATGACTTTGTCATAACTTCTTCGTAAATGCTTTGTCATAACTTCTTCGTAAATGCTTTGTCATAACTTCTTCGTAAATGCTTTGTCATAACTTCTTCGTAAATGCCTTGTCAAGATTTCATCGTAAATGCTTTGTCATGACTTCTTCGTAAATGCTTTGTCATAACTTCTTCGTAAATGCTTTGTCATAACTTCTTCGTAAATGCTTTGTCATAACTTCTTCGTAAATGAGTGTAAATGACCAAAAATATATTATAGGTGAAGAGGTGAGATGTCACCTCTTTTTTCACCTAATTTCTCACCTCAGCCGCTAAGCGGCGAGACCCAAAGGGTCTTGAATTTTCATGAATTTCCTTAAGATAGAAAAATAACGTTAGTTTTATTTTTATTTATTTTTTTATTTTGTATGTAAAGATATGATTTCAACAATCGGCACAACAACAATTCAAGCCGCGAACGGCGGGACTCTGTCCACAACAACTTCACCAAACTCGTTAGTCATGAATCCAACATCTATGTTAGTAGAGATGAAAAGCTTCATTCCTTCTTCATATACTTTCGAAACAAAAATCCAGAAGATAAAGCAAGAACTTTTAACAAGTAATTTAGACTGTAGTGCGAAAGATGAAACAAATGAACAGTATCTTTATGAAATGCAGGACATTATTGACCATTTACCTAAACTACCTGAAATTCAGCATCAAAAACTAACTATTCCTGAATTCGATGAAATAGAAGTGAAACCAACTGACTCAGTAGAAATAAAGAAGTTCATTCGAAAGGTAAACTATGAGTTTCTAGGATTTCATTGCAACCATAAAGTTATGGACAAAGATTGCGACATGGTATATAAGAATGTTTCTGACATATATAAATCCGGGGAGTTTAAGACCTACGATAACTTTGTTTCGTTAGTTGCTGAATGTGTATGGCAGATAAGAGATAAAGATAGAAGAGGTAAAATATGGAACGAACAGATAAGACCAACTGCTTTTGAGTTAAAGAAAACCATTGACGCCTTAGTTGTTTTAGCAGGTAAGGTTTCAGAATATAACGCAAAAATGAATCCGCAATGTTCTAAATGTAAAGCAGCAATTAGGAAATATAACTACTCCGTCAAAGAGATAGAAAGAATGCGAAACGACTATGCAGACTTAAAAAAGAAGCAGAAAAGCCAGCAGAAAATAAAATGGACATGTTAGCATTTCTGAACAAAAACTATCCAACTGCTGACGATTTCCTTCTATCTGACGTCAAGAAGAAATATAAAGAAACTTTCGGCATTGTTAAAACTTTTGACATACTGACAGAAGAAATAGAAGCTACGAAATTGTTTAGGATTTCAAATATACATCGTACAATTCATGTAAAACGCTTGTGAAAAACTGGGGTGAGAAAACAGGTGAGAAAACGGGTGACATCTCACCTCTTCACCTATAATATATTTTTGCTTTAATTAAATGCTTTCCGGAAACGTCGATGAAAATCATATGGACAAATTATATGAAAAAATTAATAATGATTACCCCTCATTAACCAGGGAAATGACGGATTCTATAGTTCGTAAATTCGATGAAATACAGGATATGTGGTTCGACAGATTCGACATGAACGATAAGGAAAAGAGAAAGAACGATAACAATTTACTTACTAAAAGAATCCTAAAATCTAAAATAGGTGAAGCTTCAACATTTAACACAGTACATAACTTTTACACCGCTGTTTATATTTTCAATAATTTATTTAACGATGAACGAGAAAGAAAAAGTATGTTTAACGGAAGAAATGAATATGATTTTATCCTTTGTGCTGTTCGGGATGTTGACATGAAACTAAAGAAAATATTCTTATTACAAGATGACACGGTTGAAGATGAAGTCAATGAGTTTTTAAATCGTGATTTAAATGAAATTGATGAAGTTATGACCGAATGTTATAAAAAGTTCAAGAGGTGAAAAAAGAGGTGAGAAAACAGGTGAAATCTCACCTCTTCACCTAAATTATATTTTTGTCTGATTTACATCCAACGAAAAAGTTTAGAAGAATTTTCTTATTCTTTCTGGCATGTTTTTATCTTTCCAGTACTCCCGCTCTAATGGTCCCAGATGAGTTGGTTTAGATTCTCTCAAGTTCTTAGATGGTATAACATCTTCAACGCCTCCTTCATATCTTACTTTATAAGTGTCATCGTTTATGTTGTAGTCAAGTATTTCAATAACCACTCCTCGCTTTGCTTCGTCAATGGTTTCAGCAAGTTTGCCATTACTACTTTCGACTAATTTATGTCGAGGGTAAAATGCTATGGAGTCGTCAGCAGCTTTTATAAGATATCCATTACCTTGTGTAGAGTCTACGATATAATAGTTTCTACTTAACCTTAAACGTTTCTTTGTCAACGGTTTGTCGTCAAGAACTACACGAACTTTTGTACCAGGAATGAGGGTAAATTTTGTTGAATTTCTGATATTTTGTGTTTGACTTAGTTTCTTTTGTATATACTTTTCTTCTTGTTGTTGTGTCATTGAATTTGGTGTATGTCCTGTTGTAGAATGTGTTGAGGAATTGTAAACTTCGATGAAATGTTTCATTGTTTCTTCGGTAAAGTCTCGCTCTTGATTTAAATCTCTGAGAGTCCTTATGAAGCGGTTTATGATGCCGAGTATGTTATGGTTATGGTCTTCAGTAGTGTAGTGAGTTATGTTATGCTTAATGAGAAATTCTGTGATTTCGTTGCTGAGGTATGCACCGTCTTGGTCTGATGTTAAAATACTTGGGCTATGTTCTGCTACAAACTTTTGTAAAACTCTTAACACTTCACGAGTTCCTTTATTTTTCATTGGATATGCATATGCTTTACGAGTGTTAACATTTATGAAGATGAGGAATGGTTTATGTCCTCCTTTTCTGCTTTGAATGAGAGTGTCAAATTGGTATGCGTCAAGAGTGTTGGAGTAAATTGGTAAAAAGTAGTCGTAAGGGTTTATTTTTGTTTGATGTACAACATTTTTGTCAAAGAACCTTTTCACTTCAGCTCTGTTAGTAAATCCCCGACTCTTTGCAGCTTCATTGAACTTCTTAAATGACCTCCATGGATGTTGTTCGAATACTTCTTTCAAGCTCATTTATGTAAAGTTAAAGATTTTATTCAAGACGGTAAGTCCGCAAAGCAGGCTCAAGCGCGTTCATTGAACGCGGTACCATGCGAATATAGTCACAAATGGTGGCATATAATCTTCACCCGAGCCTGTTGGATTTGTTGTGAAAGTGTGTGAATGATTTCCTGTGGTTCCACAGAAAATACCTGTGCTTGAATCTACTGGGTCACTTGAAATATCATATCTATGCATTCCCTGTCTATCCGAACCTGCTGCAAGATTTGTATAACCTCTTTTTGTTATTGAATGTGAATGACTACCTGTTGTGTTTTGTAGTTCCTGTATGAGTGTGCGGTGGAAGGTTTGCTTCTTTAATTTTCTTCGAACCACCTGTTTGCTTTGAAGAGTTCGCACAGTATAAGAATTTATCTACAATCTGCTCCCACGTACCGAAACCAGAACTGTTGCTGGATTTATTGAGTTCATTGACGTAATAATAGAGCCTGCAGGATATAATGTTTGAAGTATTTCAGTCTTTAATGTTTGAAGCTCTGTTTTGTCAGCCTTCTTGTCATATAAATCTTTGAGCAGTGAATTTAATATATGTTCATCCTTCATGACATAAACATCTTTACATCTAATGTTTTCATCGTCGTTATGTTTTCCTCCGATGTTAAACCTTGTGGAAAGTTAGGAGGTTTACAATATAATACATCCCCATCAGGTTCTTCAACCGTTCCTTCAATACTTTCTATAGCAACAGTTGTAAAACTTGTATGTGTATGGTTCTTGTCTGCTTTCTTCTCTAACATTGCTGGTAGTTCATGTGTTTCAAAGTTTCTGACATGACCTTCGATATTCATACATTTGTTATTTAAGGAGTTTAGTGTATCTTTTACGCTTGTACTTGGATTTTCTAATGGTGCACTTGAACCAAGGGTATAGTTCAATATTATGTCGTCTGCTCTAACAGTAGTGAAGGATTTATGTGTATGGTTCTTGTCGGCTTTACTGTCTAATGTAGCTTGAAGTTCATTTATATCGGAGATGTTGTGTTTATGAGATTTCAAAACTTTGTTCGTTGCTTCGAGTTCAACTTTGTCAGCTTTACTTTTAATAGCATCTTCAAACGTTATTTTTGACTTAACTCTCAAAGTAAATCTTGGTTCAACTATACACCTTTAACAGAGAAAGTAGAGGCATAAATTTCATCGTTATAACTAAATGCTTCTGGTGCTTTACCCGTGTCATACTGTACAGTACAGCTTATGTCATAACCTTTAGCACGAATGTATTTATATCTTCTTTCATTGGGGTCTTCCGTCTTCACTTCATCACTTCGTGTTAAATATCCATGGTAGTCCGTTATAATCTGTTCGTCTGAAGTTATATAATGAACGTGGTTCTTGACTTTATCACTCAGAGCTAAAAGCTCATTTTTATCTGCTTTTTCGGCTAATTTCTCATTAACATCATTCACTTCTAATTCAACTCTTCCGCCAGAACTCTTATTATCATTAATCTTTTTCATTAATTCGGTAATTACGTCATAAAGACTATATTCTGTTTTCGGTTTTGTAAATAATGAGTCAAAATTTCTTTTCATCATTACATCGCTGACATTAATGATATCACCAATTCCTTTTTCATTTATTCTCTTCATTAATTCTGCAATAATGACGAATATATAATCTGTTAATTTATTCTCTTCATCGAGGGTTATAGAATGTTTTGAAATTGAATCATTAACTCCTCTAAATAAATCAATAACTTCAGGATACACGTTTTTAATGTCTTGAATAACCCGACCAGTATCCTCGCCACTATGTGGCTCTGAGCCCGTTGGGCTCTGTTGTTCATGTTCTTCGTTCCCGTCGTTACGTGGTTTTATATCTCTAACCATCATCAACGCAGCCATAACCGGAGGGTTTGTTGCTACCTGTTCGAAAATCCGTCCGTTATGTATGGTATATCTAAATAATTTCTTTGTGTTTGTTAAAACATTTGAAACAAGTCTTTTAAAACCATCTACAAAATTTCCTGTTTCACCTAATGTTCTTGCAGCATTTACAAGCTCACCCATTCCCGCTTTTGACCCCAAAAACGTCCATATTGCATTTATTTCACTCTGTATAGTTGTCCATTCAGCAAAACTAATACCCGCATTCGCTAAGCTGAAAATGAAATTCAGTGGATCGAACTTAATTCCACCTTCTTTTTCAATTTCAACGAACTCACTAACATGAGATTTTAAATATTCTTTCGTTAAAATTGTTTTCCCCGATGTTATGTCATTAACGAAACTATCACCGTCAAAAGTTAACGAATTCAATTTCGTCGTTGATGCTTTTATTTCATACACCGCTTTATCGATAGTTTTTGGCTCACCTTCTTTAGAAGCATATGAAACATTAATGAATGAATTATATGTATTCATGAATGAGTTAAAATCAATGATTTTCATTAATGACGCCTTTAATGATTCATTAACTGTTGAATCCCTTAAAACAATTACTGAACTGTCCTTTATGAAAGGTACACTGCAAACCGTCGAGTTTGGATCAAATGCTGTAGTTGGTGCAGGAATATTAATGATATAAGTCATTAAATCATTAAGTGACGTAAATAATGTTGTCGTTTTTGATTTAATTTCTTTAGCATCTGTTATATACGGTAATTTTATTTCTGTAGTTTCTGAATTAAAGATATTCGCTAAAATGTTTTGTAAACTGTTTTGAACAGCAGTATAAACCGTTGAATTCGGAACTCTTACGATTTCACCGTCCTTAATAAAAGGCATTGCACATGGTGTAGTGCTTGGGTCAAATCTTTCGGGATTATAATTCAACATATATTCTAACGCTTCATGAACAGACTTATATACTGTTGTGTCGTTCTTCATGACAACTTCACCATTTACAATGAATGGCATTGTACATGGAGTTAAAATAGGGTCAAACTTTTCATAGTCCTTCCATGTTATGTATTTCTCAGTATTTCCATCAGAAATAACAATATATTTGTCAGTAAGTGTGAGAGAGTATTGACCAAAATATAAACGTTTAGCTCTGTCAGCTTCATACGCATATGCAGCAATAGTCATATTTTAATGAGAATAAAATGTTGTTCTATTTGCAAAGTACAGACCCAAACGAATACGGGACAGTAAAGCTACAAACAAACTTAGGTCTACAGAATGAAGCGCTTGCTTTCAGAGTTGTTGACTTCAATACTATCGCTTCATTCGTTATAACTGACGAAACAGATTTCATGGAGCTTGAAATAGATGGAAAGAAGCACGAAATAAGATTTCACAATAATGTAGAATATAAGATGGAAACATTAGCTGGAGTGTTAAATGCGCTCATAAATACTACAATAAACAAGGAGAACGAAGAAAACTTAATGAATGTTAAACTTATTGCAGGAGTTTTGAAGTTCAGTTATGCGAAGGAGTTTAAGATAACACGAATGAGTCATAGAGTACAATTGCTTCTGGGAGCATACCATATGACATTTCCTTTGAAAAGTTTTGACAAAACGATTGAGATGAAATCTGTTCCATACGTATGTTATGGCAATTGTTTATACATTGAGTCAAAAATAGCTAATGTCACAGGCATTTCAGGAGTTAATAGTAAAGGTTCAGTAGAATATAAATCTTTCTGTTATGCAGTCAATTCAATGTTCATTCCAAACGTTCCTGTCATAGCAACTCATTTAGGTAAATGGGTTCGCATTAGTCCTCATAATTTGAAAGACATGCAATTCAGACTTGTTGACTTTCAAGGCGAGCCTGTAGAACTGAAGGCACCAGTGCGAATGACTGTTGAAGTAGACTTTTTAGAAAATATTAAATGCAACAGCTTACAAGAGAACTCAGAGCTAAAAATATAAAGTATGAATGTTATGTATTAGGTCATGAACTTTGGTTGTTGCTGTTTGATGAAACAAATGAGTTAGTTATGTCAGTCAAGAGAACAGAAAAAGGCGTCAAAGGCGCCGAGCGCAAAGCGCTATATTGTGTTAGTGAGAACTGCACCAAGTCAATAAGATTAGGTTTGCATTATGAAGATGAGTTCGATACTGTTGAAGAAGTTTTGGAATAGATATTACAAATTGCTTTAATTTACTAAAACATATTTCAAACAAAGTTTATATTCTGTTGAAAGTTTTGTATACTCGTTCGAATATTTATACTTAAACTCAACTCCTGTAGTTCCTGGTGTTTCAATGATGCGGATGTTACCTATTTTCATGAATGTGGCGTTTGACCACAGCATTCGATTTCAGGGTCGAGATAGTCAATGACACATTGTTTCCCTGTTATTCGTGATATAACATTTTCAAGGTCCTCCTTTGTTAGAATTATTTGGTTCTTGCTTATAAGATTTGTCAAAAGCTTCTTATCGTCTTTGAGTAAAATTGTTTGATATAACTGAAGAAGGTAATGGTCTACGTTATCTGAAGGATTTGTTTGAACATTTATGTAAGGGTTGTCGTTGGCTTCTCTTGAAAGAATTTGGTCCAGTGGTGGATACTCTAACTTAACATCTGATGTAGCGTTAGCGTTTGAAGCTGAGTTTAAATTCACGGATTTCAGTTCTGGTTCTTTTTCTTTCAAACACTCCGAACTATAGTTCTTTATGACAATATTGTTTGTCGTTCGTGAGTCAACATTTGATGTTGGTTCAATTGGAACATTAACGGCACCAGCTAAGATGGATTTGCTTCTCATTTCA